GAAGACGGTGGGAGGGGAGGGCAGAGATGACGTTAGCTTTGACTTGGACGTCGAGGGCGGGGAGGGAGAGAACAAGGAGGTGAAAAAGGAGAGAGTGCGAGAGAAGAGGGGAGAGAGGCATACAGAAAGAGAGAAAAGGACGGGACCTACGAGAGAGACGATCGTCTACGAAGCACGAGGAGTGTAAATAATACTAAGGCTGATTGTGGGCGTGGCTGACAGAACTCTAAAAACCTTCGACTATATATCAAAGGGTTTACTGCCCTTGGATGATTCTCTCTCGTAGCGAAGAAGAGACGCTGGAAGAACAAATACTGGACTGCTGCGTGCGAGAGGAGTGGGAAAAAGTAGAAGTAAACTCTGCCGGCGTGGACGAGAAGGCAGAAGGGAGAGGGAGGTCCAAGGAAGAGGAAGGATTCCGAGGATTCGGTGTAGTCTCGAAAAGGAAAAGTCCTGGCCGTTTCTCTCGTACGTTACCGCTGGTGCACCGCGAACAAGATTGGTTGCTTCCTCTGCCTCTGCTTTCTGTCTCGCTTCGTAACCCTCTCCGTAGCTTCTACTTATCGGCTGTAAGATGCCTATGTCTCAATACTCTCGCGTCGTTCGCCACGGCGCGGGGGAACAACTGTAGGAAATAGTGAGAGAGGCGCACGGGAAGAGCCAAGTACTTTTCTGTACAACAATACGTTACGCGTACATGCATTGACTAATATCAGTATTATTAATTTACCGTAAAAATTGTTGCACGAGCATTATTCGTGGGTTGTCCCAGCTATAATTGTCTACTGGTAAGACATAGACCTCATCGGTCGCGGGATGCCTGCATCTCAATACGTCCCGTGTTGTCTGATCGATCGATTAAGTAGGAAGGAAAACGAGGAAAGAGGAGTACGGCGGAGCGGAGGAGGAGCAAGGAGGTGTGGATACCCATGGCATCCACTCTCTCCTCTGTTTCTTCCAGACTCGACAGACGTTGGAAGCTATCTCGATGGCTGCCCGCCTGCCTACTTGCTGGCCTGAGATGTTCGCCTGGTAAGCTGGCTGGCTGGCTCGCTGGCTGGCTGGCTGGTTGGTCGCTTCGGCTCTCGATTACTTGAAAAACCGGATTCCTCCTGCGCGAAACTGTGTTTCCCGTCTTGTGTTTATGTACCAATACACGCCTGCATGGGGAACAATATTGGTTATTCCGCTGCACACGCCACGGCGATCGCGCTTCTCCCCGTTACACCTCGTTTTATCCTCAATCCGGCCTAGATTCCCGCGTCTAGATAAAATGTCGCGGTCGTTTACGCACCGTCTCGGTGGAATGAGAAATCGAGAGTCGGTATTTGCGACCCGCCGATCGGAACGTGGAACGGACGCGGAAGAGAGCAGTGCCAGTGGTACTCGATGAGTCGCGATGTCATCGGCCGTAGCCGAAGGGTCGGTGTTGGAGGGTTAAATCCAAGGGTTTCGGGGGAGTCGGTGTCAAGGGTAAACGTATACGTGCCTGAGCACAAACACGCCCGTACAAGTATATAAACGTGCTTATGATGGAGCAGGACGAGCGTGGACTTGGTCGTTTGGTAAGAACAATGACGACGGGACCGGGGACGGAGAGGAGAAAGCGGGCACAAAGGGCATATCTTCCGAATAATTTCACATGGCCCTCTGTTCGCCGGTAGTTGGCCGACCGAAAGAAGCGCGCGGTCCTTCACTTGAAAGACGAAAAGAACCGCAACGGCGAGTCGAAATCCTGCGACGCGCAAGCCTCGGGGGAAAATATTTTCGAAGATCAAACACGAAACTGGCTGCACTCTTCTCTTGAACCAGTTATTCCTGTAGATAAAAATTCGTACAAATTTTGTTTCCGCTCGACGAATTTATATCGGACGAATGGTAAATTGTGGCTCAATATTAATATTGATCTGTCACTGTATATTACATTCTTTGTACGAAATACGTCTTGAAATTACACGTATATAAGCGATTCTCGTAGCAATTATTAAAATAAGAAACAGTCGATTACGATGCCGAACAAATTCCATTTGTTGTGCGTACGTGTGTGGTTCAGCCTTCATTCATCCGGCCGTCGTGGCGGCGGCGAGTTGTAGGACGAGCGAAGAGACGTGACGAGACCGACGAGAGATACCGGGCACTCATTTAGTCCGGCAATTTATTCTCGCGTTTTGTAATTAACACCAGGAAAGAAGTAGCAGAAGTTATTCTTCTCCTACGGGCACGGGACGGCACGGCACGGGTGGAAGCGACTACTCCGGTCAGTCTGCCTCCTCCCTCTCCGTCATTTCGCTTCGACTCGCTCCACCTTCGACTCTTCCTTACGTGAAGAAAACGTACGTATCACTATTAAGCGTCAGGGCGGTTGAGGCCCGGAACCTCCTGGACCAACTTGAGAATAAGAAACAGAAGAAGAAGAAGAAAATGGAGAAGAACCGCGAAAGGAGGAGACGCAGATGAGGAGGGAGAGGAACGGAAAAGAGACGGAGAAGAATGGAGAAAAGGAAATGGGGGTGGGAGGTAAGAGAGATGAGGCGACGGCGGGGCGAGAGCGAAGGAGAACGGAGGAGGATGATGGAGGCCTCTCCTCTGCATGCCACCGCAGTCAGCCCCAGACAGAAAGCGGTCTGTATAATTATGGGTTGTCACCTCATCAGCTCCGAGAGGGGAAGGGCCGGGGGAGGTGACGAGAAGGGAGGGGGGGGGGGTCGCTCATCGTCTGCGCGGGGGCATGGGACGGGAGGTTATAGGAGTGCAGTCTTTAGCTCAAATTGTGTTTTATCGTCTTTCGCATTTGGCTTTAGGGTCCCGGGCGACCGAAGGGTGATTGAGCCGCTCGGAGCGGCCCCCTTCTTTCGGGCCCTTTGCCCGATGTCTTCTCGAGAGGTGTCCGTTTTTTGCCAGGCGCAACGCGGTGTCGATTCTCGACGTATAATTGCGCGTCGCATGTCCACTCGCCCGCTCGCTCGCGGGTACTCGCTTACTTCGAGCTTCGGGGTGAATTAAACCGGATAATTCGACATTCGTTTGAAAGAAAGAAAAAAAAGAAGGAAGATGTGCCCGTTTTCGTTTTTCGCATCCCTCTTTCCTTTTCTTTCCGAGGGAGACGGGCGATAGTTGTGCGTAGTAGCGTCACGCGCCAAGGACCTCGGAAACGTCTTCATCGGTCGCGGAGTGCCGCATGCATTGCGGTCGGTAAATACGTATTGTCGGGGCTATAAAATCGCGAAACGTGCGTTTTAGGTATCCACAATGATCGGAACGTGCCCCGGCGTGCCCTCTCTCTTCGCCCGTCTCTCTCGCTTTTGCGCTCTCCGTTTCTCGGTCTCGCCCTGCCTCTCTTTCGCGCATATACGCGGGGCCGGTCTGCGCGAGGGCACGTATACAAAAAGGGGGCGCTGCGCGAGAAGGTACTGAGGCTAAGTGGCGAGTTTAGAGGGATTTCATTAAATCATATGGATTGGGGATAATGTATGTTATTGAGCGGAGCGTTCAAATCGCGCTCTATAAGTTGTAATAAGTCCAATTTTAGGGCCGGTCATGGGCCGGGTCTCGCAGTGGTTGTCGGACGATTCGGCCGCCCGCCGGCCGTCGGCTGCCAATTGGCCCGCGGCCGGCACGGAATGACAGTCACTGGGACCGGCGAACCCGCCACTTACTCGTCAAACGGCCAGCCGGTCCGCCGAAATCACTGCCATTTAGATAATTTGTAATGAATAGGCACCACTCATTCCACATCCCTACCCGCTGCTCCCTCTCCGCGTTCACCTTCCACTCTCTCGTGCACGATCCGGGCCCCGAAAGTACGCGCCGGTCAGGTCGGCAATGACAACAGTATAGTTTATCCAATATTTCATAGGTCGGCGCGGATGACGGTTCCGAGAAAGATGTAATAAATCGCGATAGAGAACGCGCGCCGTGAGCCCTCCGAGACCGGCGAGTTTACCCGAGGCCACTTAAGAAAGAATTCGAGATTTCATCCTCGCCCGAGCGAAGGAAGGAACGACCTCGACATGTTTTAAATGGGTGTGTGCATTCACTCGCGGAGAACGCCGTGGGCAGGCGCATAACGTGATTGTTAGACGCCGGAGTGTGAATCTACTACTACGACACTCAGGTGCATGAGATCGCGTAAAGACGTCGACACGATACTCGAGGAGTATCGATATCGGCGCCGCGCGTCGTACTTCTCACGAGGTTTTCCCCGCGACGCGTAGACACGCGCCGAAGGTACGCATCGATCAAAAACCGTGACCGCGCATACATTATCGCGCCACGTTGCCGGCTAACGAGAGAAAGAGAGAGAGAGAGAAAGGAACGGAATCGGTCGCGCTCGTCTTGAAAAATTGAGGGGTGACGGGGAGACCACGAAGAATAATACAGGCGCGCTACCACACGATATCGAATATATGGGAAGCTCGACACGGTGGGAGGAAGAGAGAGAGAGTGAGAGGGAGGGAGGGAGAGGCATCGATACAGTCAGGCGATGAAACCCCAGGTCGGCGGTCTACCCGAGGCCCCACGGATTCGCGAGCGTATCCATCACGGTGGCTAGCTAAGGCGTCGCGCAAACACACGGGTCTAGCGGCGGACGGCGCGAATCAACGCGCAGATTATATGCAGAGGCTACGCGCCGCCGCCTGTTGTGATTGATATTTGGTTAAGCGGCACGGCGATCCATCAAGCCCGCAAAAGCGCTCTTTATCCTTGGCTCGCCAGGAGCTACACGTTTCACCCGATTCCGGTGAAATCCGGATACACGGCCGGCTCTCTTCTCCCTTCCCCAGCCAGTCTTCGGCTCTCTCTCTCTCGTCTCACGGGCCTTCTTCCCGTTTCCTCCCGGCCGTTGCCGCAGCCACGGAAGGCGGAGGATGATCGATAATTGAATTTACGCAGTTTCTTCGCGGGAGGGCTAGGGGGGTTATAATACATCAAGTTGCGTACGTTGCTGAAATTATATACGGTAACGGGATTTTAAACGCGAATATACATTCTGCTTGCAGACGTACCAAGGATGGAGAAATCACCGCTTCTGGCAAATGGATACAATCACCCTCCCACGCACCTGAGCCACATGCAGTTCATGCAGCTCGGCGGGCACCCAGGTGCAGGACACACCGCCATCCTGTCACCGGCCAGTCTGCCGCATCACCTGCAAGCGCAGGCACAGGCTCGGGTCGAGCAGGGTCTCAAGGTCAACCCGAATATGACCAACATGGAAGCCCTCGCGAGGTGAGTCCCTCCCTTCTACCTTTTCTCGGTTCATCTCGCCGTGCCAGGAGCGACGAGAGACCGCAAGCGGTCGCTTCCTCGCGAGCGAACGAGCGAGCGAGCGACGACATTCCGGAAGCTGCGCTTCCTCGCAGCGGGAAACATTTTCATTAACTTCCTCCCCGAGGTTTACGAGCCGGGGACAAGTCGTGCCGGACGAGATGGGGGAAATAGAGACGCGAGGAGAGGCACGGCGAGTCGACGAAGAGCGAGATTCTCGTTCGGTGCTTCTCAGAAAAGTCACGGCTTCGAGTTGTTCGATTTTGCATCTGCTTCCGCGCTAATCGACGGCTCATTCGGAAATTGGATTTATCTGTTCTGCCTCACGGCGATCTCTGGCCGGCGAGGCCAAAAGAATACGACCTTAAGAGGATTGGAAGAGACGGCGAAGCCGTGGAAATCCGAGGGGTCTTGACACCGCTTGATCTCTTCCTCCTTCTTACACCTCTTGCCTCGTTACCCTAGGCCCCTCTTTCTTTTGTCTACGTGTCTTCCTTCGATTTCGCTTCCTGAGACGCCCGTCGTTTACTCGGCTTGGATTACGTTTCACTAACGCGTCGATGATTAATCTTGTTTCCCGGATGTACGATCAAGCGAGTGTTTGGTGAATTTATTGAATTTTAACTGATGACGTGAAGCAGTCCGATTATATAATATAATAATGAGAGATTATTTAATTTTGCATACTACGAAAACGGGGAAATCTATCGCGTTGTCTCGAAGCGCGTCTCGTACGACGTTATTATTCATGATTCGGCTCGACCTTGAGATTTCTGGCTAGCGCTTAGGTCTACCCTCTTGTGGCGTTAGGCCATCGTTGAAGACGCCAAGGCCTCCTTGGCGCGGCAAATCCTTGCCGCGTTACGCGCAGTCCCAAGACGAATATCGCGGCTTATTCGGCTTCGTGCAGAGCCGCGAAGAAGCGAGGAGAAACAGGAGGAAGAGAAAGAGACGGAGGTGGGGGGAGACAGAGAGAGAGAGAGAGAGAGAGAAAGAGAAAGGAGCAGCAAAGGAGCAGCGCAGCCTCGTCCTTGCTCGAGGGGGTAGACGGGTGGCTAATCCCGGCATTTGTTAACGCGTTTCTAATAGATGCTCTCAGTACATTCCCGCTTGCCGCGATACGCTCCCGTAGCCGGCCGGAGCTTTCGAGGATACGGAGACTCGCCTTAATTTTCGATTACATCCGCTCTGTGTAATTAGCCCCATCCTACTAACCGTTACCCCTTTGCTCGAGCCGTTCACTTTAGGCGGCGCGCGCCCGGAAAATCGGGATTTGCCGGCAGATAGAGGGATTTGATCATTTCGTCATTTCAATAAGCAAGCTTTTTAGTCGACGTTAACCGGCCAGTGTTTTAATACAGAATGTTTATCGCGAAAAATATTACCTCAGCCAGGGTTTGGATCTGGACTTCTTCTACTCTCTAGGCGGACGTCTCGCCAGTTCGACCATCGAGGCATTTCTTCATTTCGCTCGGTTTTGCGATCGAGCGCCGAAGAATGAATGATTTCTCGTCGCGCCGTCGGCTCGAAATAACGCTGAAGACAGAGATACGAAAGAAGCAAGCGAACGCGCAAGATTAAAGAGACACTCTTTTTGTTCCTTGACTAAATCTCGCTCACATTTTTCGGATATACACTCGAGACAACGGCGCTGGGCGAGATTCCTTAACGCGGAGCCGGCGCTTCGGATTTTTCACGCGTCTCAATCTTTCGTAACGACGCGACGCAGCGCGCGTGTCCGTGAGCGAGTGTAGCAACGCGCGGGAGAACACGTGCGTGTGCGCTAGCGGACGCGCGCGTACACGCACACACGCGGGCGTGTATAATGACACGGCGAAGGCGGCGCCGCACGTTTCGCATTATGATTTCAGCGCTTTGCTTTTAATTAAAATGCAAATCTATCGCGGCGGAGGAGCGAGCGAGCGAGAGAGATCGGGAGGTAAGACGGATTACGTCTGGGGGCGCCACGACAAACACCGGAATATGATTAATTCAACGCAACCCCATCCTGGGACACCGACGCCACCACCGTCACCGCGTCCACCCGCCGTCTCCCACCTTCCCCTCCTCAGCCCTGTCCTGCCTTGTCGCCACCCCCTAACTTGCCGTATCTCCGTCTTCCCTTCGTCCAACTTCCCCGCCCCGACCTTTCGTCACCCTGCGTGACCTCTCCGACCAGTTTCTACGGACGACACGTACGGCTTTCCTCCGCTGTTCGTTTCTCTTCCTCGTTTTTCCCCCCTTTTCGACATCCGTTGCCCCGCGTGCAAATACAGCGAATTATCAACGTAGGCCCGTGGAAACTGTGTCAGGCGTATTGACACTAGGTCCCGGGGCTTCTCTTCTTCAGGGCGCTGTACTCGGGTAGGCATTTTCAAAACTTCGCGGTCGATGCCGTCTGATTTCCGTTTCATTTTTATATTCCGCAAACGAAGATCCCGTTCCCCCCCCCCCCCCCGATTAACTTATCCGTTCCTTTTTTTATACCCTCGCGACCGGCCCGATCCTAGGTCGCAAATTAACTCCGCTCCTGCCGCGCTGACATCTCTTTTTTAATCAGCGACATCAAAGGCCCTTCATTCCCGGTGCGTTCGGCAACGGTCGGAATCGCGTCGTGAACCGAGAGACGAGACGGTACGGAACAAGGACTCTTAATCAGGCGTGTCCTCCCGCAAGGAGGACGCCTCGCGATTATGCGACTTCTACCACGATCGCGGGACGACGCGTTTCTCCTTTCGTTTCCCTTTCGGTTTGATCGCCGTTCCGCCCGAGGTTTTCAGCTTTCTTTTCCATTTTGTCCGTGTCGTAACCGCCTTTTGTTTTGTGCTCCACAGGTCCGGGACGGTTTGGGAAAACTGCCGAGCTGCCTACGAAGATATTGTCAAACACCTCGAAAGGTAGGACATCCAAAACCGTATTAAAGAGAAACGAAAAATACATGGTGGGGAGAAAAATGACAATCGTGCCGGACCGTGGGTCCGCGGTCATCGCGTTGTCGCGTAGAAATTTTCGACGGCGCGAGTGATAACGCCCGAGCGAGGGCGGGAGGGAGGGGGGGACTCGCGCAGCGCCGTTCACCCGTGAACCCCGTAATTCCCGATTAGCCGGAAAAATCGCGCTGCATCACGGCATGGCAGCAAAAATACAGAACGCAACGCGAACGGCAGGCTCGATGACGCCAGCGGCCTAGGCCGCCCGCTGCACTTCCGATAAATCAGTATTACCGGGGAAGCGGTATCGAGTTTCCGGCCGCGCGACAAGTTGAGTCCAGGCCTGACGTAGTAATGCCGACATGATTTGTATGGTGCGAGAGCTCGTAACCCCTCTGCTCTCCGTACGCACCGTGGGTCCTATCCCTCTCCTATCCGCCGCAAAATCCGTCCGACCGACCGGCGGCCTCCGTTTCGTCCGACACCAACACAGCCGCCGCCGCCGCCGCCGCCGCCACCGCGGCCGGAGAGCGAGCCACCGAGGTTTCCGCGTGATCCTAACCACTTGTCACTTCACGGCACGCAGATCATCGTCACGACGTGCCCGTCCATCATTCGGGGATTAAATCATTCGAGTGCCTGCGAAATACTCGCGCCTGCGGAGCCATCGCTGCTCCGAAAGGGTTGATTTGGGAAAGGGGCTTTGCACCCACACCCCCCCCTCGTCGATCTCGGCGGAGAGGGTGCGAAGTAGCAGGCTCCGCTTCATTATCGCTCTCTTTTTCTCCTCCGAGCCCGTTGTCACGTGCATCCGCGGAAGCGAAAGGTCGCGAGACCCGAAAAGGGTGCGTCAAACAGCTCGAAAATCTTGTGTTTCAGCCTCGCCTCGTTTCACCTCGAGGAGGCGGTAGGTGCGGGAGGATGGTGCGGGTCCTCGCGCCTCCACGGCGAGTCTGGCGGAGAGTCGTTAATACGGGGGGGTGAAAATCGACACTTGGCCGTTCGAAACGTAATTTCCAATTCAAAGGCAATGACCACTGGTCGAGCCCCCGCCGCCAACCACTCACTCGGCCCCCGCACGCGCTCACCCGCCGCCTGTGCGCCGCCCTTTCTCTTTCTCTCTCTCGTTCTATTTGCTTTACCGTCGACCCCACCGTCGACTTCGTCAACCGGACAAACGCGTATTGTGATTTCAGCCTTTGACTGGTGGCCGTTCGATGGATATCGCAGGGGGTGGTAAATGGGCACGAGGCCACGGGGAGCGGATGTGGATGCTGGCAGCGGGTCGAGGGGTAGGGGGGCAGGAGGGGCCGGGAAACGGACCGGAGTAGCGAGAGCGACGGGGGTGGTTTGCTGTGGAAGGGCGGCGGACCGGCGAGCGCACCGTGAATATTCATGGCGAGAACCCTAGACGAATTCGGACTTGTTGCGACTGACACTGATGTAAACCTTTGTTTATCCTGCGTGGCCCGCGCGTTCGTTCGTTCCCTCGAGATACGCGCCAGCAGCCGCGCAGCCGAGGGCGATTCTCGAGTATTTAACTGCGAGTTAAATTCTGATTAATCGACGGCGCCGGCTTTATTAATTGTTTGTCCTTTTGATTTTACAACGTTCGCAGAACGCAGCCTGCGACCGAAGACTGCGCTGCTCCTTCTGCCGTTTGTCTCGCCCTGTCTCACCCCCAACGTCGGCTTTTAATCCCGACGATTTGTTCCCGCTAATCCATTTGATCTACTCGCTCGGAGGAAAACTCCGATTTCCTCTTGAGTCTATCCACCAGTTCAGTCAATTAAATCTCATTAATCCCACGGCGCGGTGAGTCCGTTTGGACGGTCCACGTTGGTGATTTGGACACCCGACCACTTTATTTTGCGCACTCGATGGAAAGGTGTAACAGCTGCACAATTGAGCCGGCTGGAACAGGAAGGGTGCGTGCGTAAAATTTCAAGCCCGCGCTAGCGTAAAACCAAACTATAAAAAAAGTTTCAATGTAAACTTGAAGGAGTGTCCGCTCTCTTCGGCGCAAAGTAACGTAAAAATTGAAATATTCATACTGCTTATAAAACTTTTTTCCCCTCAAGTACGTACCCTTTCTGTTCTACCTGATTCAATTGCACTTTTACACCGTCACAATTGCGCCCATCGATCATTTTCGTCGCGAGTGATATCTATAGAATCGAATTTCGGGTATGTATGACTAGCGGATAAGCAGTCGTTACGAGCGGATGAAGGCGGAGTTGCGAGAGACGCGCGGCTTCCATCGCGCTCCCGTCCGACCCTCGGCGCGCTGCGGCGGCGGCGGCGGCGGCGGCTCGCGCGTTATGAAGTAAGTAATATTAATGGTTCCCCGCAGTCAGAATGTTCGGTATCAATGCGCTAATGTCGGCTTCCTGGCTTTAAAACTACCCAGTCATTCCGGCATAATTCAGGCGCATTGTCTGTCGCCGTCCAACTACCATCCGCCATCAGTTTCTCGCTGCCTTCCTACGGGTTCCTTATCGTCAGGCATCCCCTTACGCGTTGCCTGCCTCCGCGTCTCCGTACCCGTCCCCCCCCCCTTTCTCTCTGCTGTTCCCGCTCCGCACCTTGTCCCCCGCTCGCCGTCTCTCTTCGACCTAACTTGGGGCCCACCCTCCCCGTCGCACCCGCGACGTCATTAATTACGGCGACGACGGCGACGACGTCCTATCGTCCAGGACATCTGCTGGAAAATAATATTCATAAAGTTGAGCCTCATCGTTACGATCGACTCTTTCTCCTTCCTTTCTCTCTCCCTCTCGTTCCGCCACGCTTGGGGTCTGCGCCTCTCGCTTCCTCCTCCTCCTCCTGTCCGTCTTATCCCTCCTGCGCCGCGCCAGCGCGAGATGACGTCGCCCATTTACATTTACGGTCATGGTTTCGTGGCTGCCGAGACCGCGTCCACAAAGAAGTACACCGACGACGGACGTAAAACGACGGACACGTCGAAACGCGTCGTAAGATATTTCACTTCTTGCCGCTTTGATAACCGCGCGTGATTACCGCCGACGTCGCCGTCGAGTCGTATCTCGGGAACGGCACGATCGAGATTATCCTACTCATTTAGTACAACACTTAGCTTAATATGAACGATTCGTCTCAGTTCGATGCGCTCGTTAACGTCTTATCTGATCTGATTAATAAAAAGACCATGAGTAAATACTTGAATCTCCATAGAACGTGAAATTGATATTAACTAGCATCTCTTCCGAGTAACGTACAATTTCATTGCTTTTTTTTCAAATTTAACTACGCACGTACGAGCGCGGCGAGTTTCATGCATCATCATCTACTAGCATTCTGGTTTATCGTGTCCGTCCGAGTCGAAATTTTGGCCCTATACGTTGAACCTTTAATTCTATTATATGTATAGTAAGATCTAAGACGGTAAAAGAGATCGAACTGCGAGTAAACATTTACTCCTTTCAAACTGGTGGTGTCGGAAAAGTTCTACTTTTGCCAATTTAGCATTAAAGTAGGTCCTTTTAAGTAGAAGCTAAAATAAATTCTTAGAATTAAAGATTCAAGGGAGGAGTAAAAAATATAACGTCATCAAAGTAGGTTATTGCTAGTCCGTGTAGGTGTATAGATCAGCTAAGTAGGTGCAAATTAAAAGTGTCAAAATAGTATCAAAATTTCGACTCGGGCGGCTAACCGTTGTATTACAGTGCGGCAAACTATTACCTACAAGTAATTCGCCAATAAGGAACTTGATAATGGAATATTTCGCGCGAATCACGCAGGAACGGGCGTTTATCGCGTAACCGCGGATAAGCGCGGGTCGAAAAAATAATCCCGGCGCAAAATCGGTCCCGGCTGTCAAACGATCGGCCCCGGGCCTCGTCCATCTCGTCGCGCGGCGAAATGGTTAATTCGACTCTCGGCGATCGCGCGGACGATAGCCGAGAGCCGTTCTCTCGCTCTCTTACCATCGCGAGCGGCACGCTAATTGCGTTCAAACGAACTGTCAGCGCACGGACAGGCGCACCGGCGCAAACACCTACGGAGTAACCTATCGCTACACGAACGGCACACGTACGGCAGCGACGCGACGTGCGGGCAAATACGCGCATTGTGATTAATACCGTTTACGCGGCAACCGGTCCGGGCTTGGAGCTGTCAGCTTGCCGCCGCGAGAATCCCCATAATTACGCGACGCGACGTTTTCCGCCTTGTCCGCTTAATCGCGTGTGCATCGAATGCAAATTCGCGCTACCGAAGGTCATCTCCGATTGTTTCTCCCACCCCGGCAGTTTTATATATACATTTATATCTCACAAATAGATTTAATATCGCCAGTGGTTTATAACCATTGGCCAGTGTAGGTCGTTTTAAAGAACTACATATCATTATATTTACATCTTTTAATTTATTCCATCCCTCGCTGTTGCGCCTGACTGTCGCGATTAGTTGTTACACTGATAAAAATAATATCTTCATCCAAAAAATATTACTTTACTCAAGAAACTTATTCATTAGGTGACTCCTAATAACTTAACTTAAATTAAAAAAATACTGAACAAATTAAAACATGCATTGCTTTAATTCAAGTATTGATCAGATATCAAAGAATAGATAATTTTTTATTAAAAAAAATTTTATTTTAATTCTATAAAATGTTTATTAAGACGTAATTTTCACTGCGAAGAAAATCGCACTTCTTATTTAACAAAAACAATTATTTCATTTAATAAATAGTATAATATTTTATATCTCGTGAAATCTTTATTTGAATATAGAAAACCTAATAATTTGAATTAATGTACTTAATACAACACATGGATTTACTTGAAATTCGATATTTTCATTTAAATAGAATAAATATTTACTTCAATAAAAAAAAATAATTTTAAGTAAATCTATTGTACTTAGTTTAAAAAAGTTTTTTGTCAGTGTACGCCGTGTTATTACGTTGCATTAGCATGATGATTGCTCTGCCGATTATACCA